AAGATCAGAGAAGCAGACCAGCCAGCTACTAGTTCTTACCTCTACGAAATCTTCAGTCTAAAGAGAGTGAGTTCCTTTCCTCAGAAAGCCTCTGAGTCCTCACCTGGAAGGGTCTCAGCTGAACTACTTAGTTCCTGTTTCCTCACACCTTATATACCTTTCTCTGCCCTGCTGTCACTTCCTGGGATTAAAGGCTTGTGTGCTCCCCAGTACTGGGATTAAAGACATGTGTCACCACTGCCTGGCTCTGTTCCTAGTATGGTCTTGAACTCACAGAGATCCAGACAGATCTCTGCCTCCCGAGTGATAGGATTAAGGGTGTGTGCCACCACTGTCTGGTCTCTGTGTCTAATCTAGTGGCTGGCTCTGTCTTCTGATCCTCAGGCAAGCTTTATTAGGGTACACAATATATTACCACAGCTAAGTAAGGAATGTGTGTTATGAAGACAAGTGTTATGATGCATGGGAAATCTAGCCATTATATATTTTCATTTTTAAAACCTTTTTATTCTTTGTGGATTTCACATCATGTATCCCAATCCCATTCATCTCTCTGTCCTTTCATATCTGCCCTTTGCCCTTGTAACCCTCCCCCCAATATTAAATTAAATTAAATTTTAAAGAAAAGTCTTGTTGTGGAAGCTGTAGTGTGGCCCAGTTAGTCACACAGTATACCCTTTAGTCCATACATCTTTATTTGCAAGTGTTCATTGCAATGAGTCATTGGTCTGGCTAGATGCCTCTGGCTTCTGCTACACTATTGATACTGGGCTCTCACTGGAACTCCTCTTGGATATCCTGTTATTGCCCTGTGTCATGGAGATCCTGCACCTTTGTATCTGCAGGACTGGCCTCTTCACATGCTGCAGCAGTTCATAGATGGGGTGGATGTTGGGGTGGGCTACCTCATAGCCCTGGTTCTGGGCCTGGATGGTAGCTAGGTTGGTCAGCCTGCCAGATCTTCCTCATCCTCATCACCAGTGTGAGCTCTCCAGCACTGCCCCTGCCCGCTCACCTAATGCAGCAGACAGCAAGGGGCAGGGCCTATTCTCCTGCTCTTACACCCTCGTGGCAGGCTTACCCATGTCCCCTCCAACAAGGCTAGCTCTACTGTGTTGCCCAGCTGAGGTTCAGGGCCCATTCTCCTGAGTGATGCAGCTGGTACAGAGCAAGGCCAGCTCTCCTGCCTACCACAGGAGGTGGTGGTGGGGACATCTATCCCTCATCCATGCCACCACATGGCGGACGAGGTGGGGCTGGGTCAGCTTTCCCCCCCTCTCAGGGTGAGCTCTACTCTGCTGCCCAGGCAAGGTGCAGGGCCTGCTCTCCAGAGTACTGCAGCTGGTAAGGGCCTGACCAGCTCTTCCCCTGCTGCTGCTGGCAAGAGACAAGAGAAGGGAGAATGTCACATGACAGACAAGTAGTGGAGCCAGCTCTCTTATATTCATACCCTTGGGGCCATTTCACCCAAGCCCCTGCTAACAGGGTCAGCTCCACTGTGCTGCCCAGGCAAGGTACAGGGCTCACTCTCCCAAGTGCTGCAGCTGGTAAGGAACAGGGAAATCTGGCCATTTTAAGTTAGGAGAATTCCTCGTTACTTGAGGCAAATTTTATGCACTGGAGGAAACACACAGTCTAGCAGTTGGGGAAGAAGGCTATGCAGTCATCCAGCTGAGACTCTTCTTAGATATACCTGTTCTATATACTGTAAAGATCTACTTGTTTATTTCATCTGAGTCTCATTCTCTCCATCCACAAAATCAAGGCATTGTCACCTACTTCCAGATTACTGAAAGTAAAATCAGATAGGGTTCCCCTGCTCCCCAGCCCAAAAGTTCCAGAGCTACAGAAAGAGGTAAGGCTCAGATGCAGGTGCAAAGGATCTGGATTCAAGTCCCACACTCTGGACTTTTAGCTATGATGCCTATTCAATAAAGAACTAACATGTTTTACCCACCTTATTACTATTTTATTACAAATTAAACTTTCTTTAGTTCTATAAAATTTTGTGTATTTTGAGTGGGTTGTAACAGCACATGCCTATAATCCCAGAACCCAGGAGACAGAGACAATAAAAACAATGGAAACTTGAGTTTTCCCATGTTTATCAGTATCAACAAAAATCCAGAAAGTAGGAATACCTTAAAAATGCATATGTAACCATGACAGCACACACAATCCCTTCACAGGTTCAACTCCAGACAAAATCCCAGTGCTGAGAAAGGGGAGTAGCATCAGGTCTCATCCCTGACTGAGAAGCTGTTTGCAATTGACACCTGCTGGCAGAAGGAGTGTCAGGTTTCTCCAATGGACTGTCAATCACAGGCCCCAAGCTCAGGAGTAGTAATCAACATAAAGCAGGCTCCATGTTTGTTTGTTTTATGTTTGTGTGCACACACTAGAGAGAGAGAGAGATGGAGACAGAGACTTTTTTTTGTTTTGATTGTCATTTTTTTTTTGAGAGAAAGGGAAAGAACATGAAGTTGGGTAGGTAGGAAGGTGAGAAGGATCTTGGAGGAGTTGGGGAGGGGAGATAATATGTGAAAAAATTTAATAAATATAAATCATATAATTTATAAGAAAATTTTCAACTTTATTAAAATCAAGGCTTGTTTTAGAAACTATTTGGAACTTTGCTTGCTTCATGCTGGTCCTGGCCATGGCTAAAGTAATACAAAGGGACCCCCTTACTGGGTCTCTAAGTCCAGACACAATACTTTCTCTGGCCTTGCTGGGCTCTGTCGTTTCTTGCCATTGCTGATGAGTCGTTGGCTAAGCACACTGTCCTTGATTGTGACTCAGCTGTTCCTTTCACTTACAAAACAAGTTCCCACATGGCTTATAGATTCTGGTTGGGTCCTGATGTAAAAATTTATTGTAGATCTGCAGGAAGTAGGAGGTGCGAACATTGATAGAATATGACTTGAATGTGTTAGAACTGTGTGAGCATGCACACATGTGCTCATGCATGTGGAGGTCAGAGGTTGATGTTAAGTACCTTCCTCAATTGCTTTCCACCTTATTTTTTGAGATAGCATATCTCACTTAACCTGGAGCTGTAATTCAGTTAGACTGACTGGCCAGCATGTCTCTACCTCTCCAGTGCCGGAATTATAAACATGCATGTCACCCTGGGCCTTTTTTCATATTATATTTAAAAATTGTTTGTTTGTTTTTCTAGTTTTTTTGAGACAGAGTTTCTCTGTGTAACAGTCCTGGCTGTCCTGGAACTCACTTTATAAACCAGGCTGGTCTCGAACTCACAGAGATACGCTTTGCTAAAAATATATTTTTTTAATTGAAATAGAATTACATCACTTTCCCTTCCCCTTCTTTCCTCCAAACCCTCCCAGCTATCTTCCCTCGAATCCCTTCCATGTATCCTACTCTCACGTTGGTAGCCATTTTTTCTTTATTATTGTTACATACATTTGTGTGGATGTATGTATATGCACAAATATAAATATATATAAATACAACCTGCTGAGTCTGTTTTTGCGGTTTTTGTGTTTATAGTTTCAAGTCTGCTTGCTGCATTGGACACCCAATGAGGGGGGTCCTGCCCGGGAAAAGCTAGTTCTCCTTCTCCCAGCAGTCCTTATTTGCCTGTAATTCTTGGAATTGTTTAAGTCTTATTTCTGCAGTCATTTCTGGTGAGACTGTTTCACTTAGTTTCTCTTTATGCCCCTCTCTTCTCAGCTCCAGGTAACTCTACTTATGTTCCTTTTCTGTGGGTTTACTTAAATTCTTAATATTTCATATAAATGGAATCATACATCACTTTTCTGCTTTCACTTAGTGCAATGTTTTTTTAGGTTTATCCTTATTGTAGTATTTTTCAGCATTGCATTCCTTTCTATGGTTGGATAATATCCCACCGTGTGTATGTTCTATAGTTTATCCATTTGTCCACTGATAGGCATTTGGTTTCTACCTTTCAGCCACCAATAGTGCTGCTATGATCACAATGCACATATACAAAAGCACCATTTCTAGGTAAAAGGAATCACATTTCCTTCATGGCAAGTGCTAACAGAGAATGATTATTTAGAAATTTGGGCAAACAGGTAAATTAGGTATTCTTAGGTGTATATAAGTAGACATATTTCTCTCATTAGTATAAATAAGAATAGATGGAGGCATCATTGTGTTTCTATATAATGTGTGATTTAAAAATAAGATCTAAAGCAAATTGAATGCATGAGTAAGGTAAATGGTTTAGGTAAAAATTATTTATGAAATAAAACCTCTTAAAAAGAGAGGAAGACAGACAGCAGCTTAGTATGTGATGTGCTACATTCCTGTTTCTACCCATTTATTTTTTGGAGCCTAACATAGTAATTTAGCTGCATTCCCATTAATATTAGTGGGAGTTTCAAAGTGAAATCCCTGCACATGTCTTTGAAAATGTCTAGGTCAAAGTAAACCGTTAATGAAAAGCTGTTCTTCACTTTCAGTGAAGTAGTTTAGAAAGCGCCTCCCTGTTCCTCACAGAAGTGCCGTGGAAGGTCACTGATTAGAGGTCATCAGCTCTAAAGCAACAGCAAAAGAAAATGTATTAGAGAACAAACAGAGTTTCCCCAAAGGAAAGAACACAAGAGTTCATGTCTCATGTTGTTTTGCGGTAGCAAAGGACACTGGACCCTTTCAGTGGACCCTTGAAGCCAGGTGCATGTGATCAGGGAGAGAGATATGCTAAGGTGAATTTTAATTAGGACTAAATTGTGGTATTACTCTTTCATAGCCTGAACATCTGTTCCCTTCAGAAATGATGATTTATGCAGGCGATCAGAGCAGACAGCTTGCTATAGCTTATGTCACGGCTAGTGGGAAGCTGGAGAGGCTGGGGGTAGCATTTCAGAAAACCAGCATCTAAATGGAGACTGGCCAGTGTGTATGACATAGGAAATAGGGAGAAGGGAAGCATGATGTGTCCATCTTTAAATTCTGATGCCAAATACTGACTTGAATTAAAAAAACAAAAACAACCTATCTTCTAGACCATCTGTTGTTAACGAAGAAAGTGACTTGGACAATGCATGGGTTGATGCTTCCCACTGATGTCAAAAGACAGAAAACCAAGCCCGTACTTTCCAGAAGGATGAAGACACTTGCTCAGAAGACCTCAGTACGAATTCTAGTCTTTAAGAATGGCCTGGGGCAGGATGGGCATGAGATCACAGTGGAAAAGGAAACAATGAGAAAGGTAACTGTTCTGAAGTTGAATTATGAATCAAATTTCAAAGTTTATGGCTTTTGACGCATATTGACTTTAAATAACCATGTCAAAAGTTAAATTGAAGTATTAAAAGGGCTTTACATATTAACTGAAGTATTCACCTGTTTAGAAGTGTGCTCATAGCATTGACAACATGAATTATCTTAACAAAACAATGACATTTACTTGGTCAACATAGTTGACCATTTTCCTAATAAAAAGTTACATTTACGCTAGGAGGAGGTTTCTAGTTGGTTCAATATTCTATAAGATATTGAAGCTAGTCTAACATATCTTCAAATACCAAACTGCCTCTTTTCATTTATCATAAAACCTAGAAACACTATGTATTCCTTGAAAGTATAAATAAACTCTGAAATTATGTTTAAAATAGTTACATAAATTTAAGGAATAAATTTGGATAGACCTGGGAAAATTATATATAATAAGCATACTTAAAAACAATTGAGTTTGAAATACAACTTGTCATGTGAATGTGAACATATGTCTTTCAGAAGTTTTTTGTTCTTTCTGGGTCATTTCTTTAAAGAGGTATTTATTTTCATCTATCATCTGTCTATCTGTCAATCTATCATCTGTCTATCTATCTATCTATCTATCTATCTATCTATCTATCTATCTATCTGTGTGTGTGTGTGTGTGTGTGTGTGTGTGTGTGTGTGTGTGTGTGTGTGTGTAGGTGCCTGTGGAGGCCAGAGGTGTTGACTACTCCTGGAGCTAGAGTTACAGGCAGTTGTGTGCAACCTGATGTGGGAGTTGGGGACCAAACTCAGTGCTCTTTCCCAGCACTATTTACTCTTAATCACTGAGCCATTCCTTCATCCCCCCCCCCCCTGACATCATCTTGGTTATCAAGGAACTAATGAGAATTTGAAGATATATTTTATAGGTAGATTTTTATTAATCTTAGTCATCTTAGTAATAAGAGTAACTATAATTCTTTAGTTATATATTAGAGACAGGGACACAAGCATCATATTTAGGTTTGCATTCTGACTTTACTACCCATTGATTATGAGACCTCCCTCGGATTACTGCACTTCACTGGGCCTCAGTTCCATCACCAAAAAAGGGGAATAACAGTATTACTCCCTTCACAGAGTTGCTACAAAGAATCACTCTCATGTAATGCTTAGAGTATGATGCCTGGCATCAGAAATGTCCCAATAAATGTTTTTTATTTTTCATCTTTAAGATTCATAAATACACATCTAATAGAAATTATTTTTCTTATTAGTAGAAAACCTTGCTATGAAATCAACAGGTATCCATCTTTGGTATGCATACTTTCATTGTATGGAACTGTTTTAATTTGGATATTGCTCAAAACAAATGAATGGTTGGCTACTTATTTTATGGTTGTTTTATAACCGCAGTCACTAAAGAACATTGTGCCTGCTAGTTTTATGTCCACTTGACAAAAGCTAGAGTCATTGGAGAGCAGGACGAAAAAGATATGGCTGTTGGCTAGCCTGTAGGGAAATTTCTCAATTAGTCATTAATAGGGGAGAGCCCAGATCATTGTGAGTGTGGTCACCCCTAGGCTGATAGTCTTGGGTTCTATAAAAAAGTGGGCGAAGCAAGCCATGGCTAACAAACCCATAAGCAGCACTCCTCCATGGCCTCTGCATCTGTTCCTACCATATTTGATTTCCTGTCCTGACTTCCTTTGGTGATGAACAGTGATGTGGAAATACAATCCAAATTTATTTCCTTTTCCCCCAAGTTGCTTTGGTAATGGTGTTCATCACAGCAATAGTAACACTAACTAGGATAAGCATCTACCAAGGATGTAGGAAGTCTGGCCTTTATTTTCTTTTACCTGCAGGTTTAAATTATGAATAAAAGATGACATATTAATCAATAGATCAAATTATAAAGATTGCTGTAACGTCTTCCCCAGAGATTCTGAAAAATGAGGAAGGATATATATCTTTTAGATTATTAAAATATAGTCACTCTTGTAGATAGGCACGAGATTAGAGATCATCTTGAGTTTAGTTCAGCCTGTAATTCTATATGGTGGTCATAAAAATGAATTAATAATCATCTTACAGGGACATGCTCTTAGCTGAAAGTTTGTATATAAATAAAACTGTCACTTCTGTTTTTTGTCATCACTGAACAAGTTATTTAAAATAGATGATAAAGAAATCGATTCTTTTTTCTTATAATTTGTGGAGTTTAAAGAAATTTTATAATTCATAAACCGCATGATAGAACATTACTCATATGTTTGTAATATATTTGCCTAAATATAATTTGGAGAGTGAGGTTAAACCCAAAACTGTGGGTAATAAAATGCTGAACTATGGGTAATGAAATGCTGGACTATGGGTAACAAAATGCTGGACTATGGGTAATAAAATGCTGGACTATGGGTAATGAAATGCTGGACTATGGGTAATGAAATGCTGGACTATGGGTAACGAAATGCTGAACTATGCGTAATGAAATGCTGGACTATGGGTAATGAAATGCTAGACTATGGGTAACGAAATGCTGAACTATGGGTAACGAAATGCTGGACTATGGGTAATGAAATGCTGGCCTTGGGAGTATGAACATGTTGGAAAGAAACACTAAAGCTAGCTTGTAATTTTTCAGTAAGATTTTCATTTTGAGAGCACTTTTGATAATCACAGGGTCATGCCCTACTTACAAATTAAATAAATGTGAACTAAGGAGCAGAAATAAAGAAAGGAGGTCAGGTGGTAAAATAAGGTGGTTAACTCAGAAAAGTCCTCTGAAAGTTCAGGATTCAGCAAAGGAGGAGGCTGCTTTAATAATAAGTGTGAAATCAGCAGAAAATCTATTCATTTTTAATGAAGTTAAGTAATTAAGAAATTTGAAATGAAGGCCAAGATAATAATATTCTCTATTAAACTCTGGAGTACCAGAATTATTACATATAGATTTGAATCTATAATTTGCTACTTTTAGAATTCCTAGGCACAGCTTTAGTGAGCACATAATACCCATTATTATAGGATACTTCTTAAATGTGTGTATTCATGGGGTGATAAAGGTATTTAAAATCTGTAGTCATGAGATGTCAAGTTAATGGAAAATGAAAAGCTTCAGATTTTTAACTTTTTAAAACTGGTGGAAAAGTTTTATTCTTTCCCGATAGTCTCTTAGATTAATTGTCAAAGACATATTAAATTGTGTGGATATTACACACAAGAACATCTCCTTTATGAAAATTACTTTTTCCTCAGAGATTAATAATTATTTCTTATTTTTACTTCGTATTATATAAACTTTTTTGATGTCATGAAATTATACTTTTGAAGAAAACAATGAAAAATTAATGAAGTGAATGAAACAATGCAGGAGATCCCTGCTCCCCTCACTCTAGTTTACAGTGGTTGTTCTGTGGCCTCTGTCTCGGGGTCTCTCATCACCTCCAACCTGGAGTGGCGGTCTTTTTCTTTCTCTGTGTACATCCTCTTTCCTGGTGCTCAAGCTCCCCTCTGTATGCATTCCTCTCTTGTGTATACTTTTTTACTTCCAAAGAATGAAATTTCAAAAGGTAATTTTTTTCCAGATCTTGAGAGATAATTTTCCCCCATAAATTGCTGGTTATTCAGTCAGAGTAGGTATTTTTTCAGTGTATAAAGTGACATCTTTATCTCTTGAGCAGTTTGTTGGATTATCCCTTTGGCGATATCCTTTTTCTTTACTCTTACTGTTCTGATTTTGTAGTTTCTACTTTCTAAATGTAAGTCATAAGAAATAAACAGAGTTTTCCTGTCTGGGAGGTTTAGTTTGATGATTTTTATTTAGTTTTTACTTGACAATTTCATACATGTGCATAATATATACTGACCACTCCCTCCCTTCACTCCCTCTCTCCTTTCTGCCACCTCCGTCTACCCGCCCCCATATCTATACTCTCCTGTTTGTTTGTTTTGTGATCCACTGGGTTTATGCAGTATCTCCTGAGTGAATACACAACTAGAAATAAGTACCCATCAGCAGTCAACAGTTCAGCAGAGAGGAGTGTCCCTATAAGCTCCTCCCCTTTCTATGAATAATTATTGACAGCGAACTACTGAGTTTGTGATTGTAGTGTTATATGGACTCCAGAGGACAGTGTTTCATAGTCTTCACCCTCTCTTCAGGTTCTGACATGTTTCCTACTCCCTTTTCTGCTGTGTTCCCCAAGTCTTAGAGGGTGTGGTGTAAATGTTTATTTAGGACTGAACACTAAACCACTGTTTATTCTCAGCATCTTGGGCAGCTATGACTCTGCGTTCATGATGTTCACTGTAAAGAGGGGCTTCTCTGATTAAGGCTGAGGGTAGCGTTTGTAAATGTGTATGAATGTACAGAGTGAGAAGACAGTTTAATGCTATGTTGATTTAGTCTCCCTACTTGAGCCTATGACCTCACTAGGAATGGGCTGGACTGGTCTTGTAGTATCAGGTATGAATTCCCTCTCATGGTGTGGACCTCAAATCCAATTGGAAAGCAGTTGGTTATCCCTATAACAATCATGCCATTTTTTTGCACAAATGGGCACATATTACCTACATGTTGGCACAATAGATTCACATCTAGATAAGAACAATGAGGCTTTTTCTCCTCCAATAACCTGCCTAGCATTCTGGGACTTCAAAAGCTAGACAGTAGAAAGGTTTCCATTTCTTTTCCAGATTGCTTCCTCTGTGTCTCACAACTGAGATGTGAGACAGCTTCAGCAATGTGGTCATATTCTCTACTTCTAGTGGACAACTTAGAGAACTGACAGGGGCCTGAATTGTTTGGGGAGCCCCTGAGGCTTCCCTGAGAAATGCTATAGAGGAGTCCACACCTGAGACTGGAAACTTCATTTAGGTGCCACTGCTTCTATGGATAGCATTAGCTACCATGCAGGATGCCTTCCTTCAGTCTCTCTTTTATGTTTTTTTATTTTGGCTCGAAGATGTAGGTTTCCATATGGCTTTTTCAAACTCCCTTCA